CATGCCACAAGAGGTAGTCTGGAAGTGACTATGCTCGGTGGTATGGGTGGGCAGAGGTTCACGAACCGCACTAACAAACCATTCAAGTTGCAAACATGATAAACATGTTCCAAGCCTCCTGATATACATTGATATTTGATGGTCATTGCAGTCATTGCATGTTTCTACAAGGTGCTGGAGATGGGTGAAGCACAACCTGTTTTGAGATGATGTACACTGTTTGGTGAACACCAGCGGTCAACTCCACCAGTGCGTCATCTGACTATTTGCTTTGGGGTGGATGGTTTCGACTGACAGCCATGTTACTGTTCAAAGAGACTTGGAAGCCACCTCACTGCCGGGTCCCAGAGGGTCCCCATCGGTCGTCAGTGATGTCTGAAAGTCCGCCCGTTAACTTCATGGGGTTCAGGCGGTTCAGGGTCCTCACGAGTCCTCATGGGTCCTCTGTCCACAAGAAATCGAGTGCTTCTTAAGGCTGCTCCTGTGGAGCACCGGCATCGCCCAGCCGATGGACACGTTTGGGTCTTCCCATGCGGTGATGGACAGGAACTCTTAAAACCCCACAAAAAAGAGACGTGTCTTCTCAGGTATGGGCTCTGTGTACAAAGCAGTATAGATGCTGTCAAGGACCAGTGCACGAAGAACTTGCAGTTAGCTGAATCTGCTTGACGCAATCAACTGACTTATGTGGCCAAATCCAAAATTGGTCCTGAAAACCTCAATTGGCATAGAACACAGGGATCACAGCCTCACCCAGACTCACCCAGACCTGGGCCGAAGCACTCCTTCGAATCGCTGCTGTTCTCCGTCTTCGCGCGCCTGCATAGGTGAAGAAGCTACAAACATAGTGACCAAGACAAGCCAGCGAGCCTTAACGCCAAAGGAGCCAAAGAACACTCGGTCCATTATGTCCTTAAAAAAGGCCGCCTGACCAGCTGAGCTGACCTTCTCTCAGACCAGCATGACCTGGCCCTGACATCACCTGACTTGGAGAAGCAGCTGCAGTTTCTCCGCTGCTGGTGACAGGGCAACCTGTTTTTTTCAACCCAGAAACTTTTTGTTCAACCCTAACCCCTTTTTTAACCGTGGAACTATTTTTTTAACCCTGCAACCTTCTTTTCTAGCCCTGTAACATGCTTTTCTAACCCTGCAACATGGTGGGTTGAAAAAAAGTCCAGCCCCTGGTGACATGGTTTGGCAAGGCAACGTGAAGGGGTGTGTCTGCCTCGCAACAAAAGGTCCCTCCCCCCTGGTGGTATCATGAACACATCGCCTCATGTCATCACAAGGATCCGGCAAATCTTTCTGGCAGGGTTTTCAGCAGCAACCCGTTAGGCCGTTAGGCATCAGTGTCGCAAGGGAAGCGATCTTTGAGTTCATGTAACGTATGAATTTGACCCCCCCCTGGACCTTGAGGTTGATGTATCCTCTGTGAATTGTTTGGACTTGGTCATGGGAATTGAACGTGGATCTGTTCAAGTCCGAGTCTGCCCAAATCCTCCTGTCGGTCCTTCCCCCCATTCCTTCCCCCGGACCGACTGCTGCGTCACGCTCGGCCTCTGTTGGGCCGCCCAGGAGTTCTCCGAGTGCTGCAGCTGGGGCTTCTTCCTGCGACGCGTGATGGGTGGGGGATCAGCATTCCGCCTGTGGCTCCGAGACCCGATCTGTGAGCGCCACAGGACAATCATGGAAAATCGCATTGTCACGGATGCTTTTTTATTTCAGCCAGTGGTCGGTGTGATCATGTCGTCATCCCTGGCTGTGTCAACTCTTTGATACCCTGTCGACTGTTTTGATACTGTACATTTCACAACGTTTAAATACATTTAATGGAGTTTAATTCACAATTTTCAAGTTTGGGTGTCCTAGTCCTCGCCACCCGCTCTTCCCATGTCGGGCAACCCGGAGTTGGACAGTCACCAGCCGCACAGGCCGAGCGGTTCAATGCTGGCCCGTCGACAGGTTTGTGGATGATTCGATCGATACTTCCAATGACCAACCAATCCACGCCAGCATTTCTTTTAAGAGGATGAGAGTCTTCAAATCCATATAGGAATAACTTCACAAACAAGCAAACAAGCAAACAAACAACTCCCGTGTCTTGATCGTCAATAGCTTCGAGAAAACAATCAATCGACTAGTAACCACAAACAGTTTATATGTAGACAATGTAGAAAGAATAATGTGCTGTATATTATTGTTCAATAGGGTGTCGTCTTATTCCTTTGCTTTAAAGAACGCCGGGCACCACGCATGTTTTCTTCCACACCCCGCGGAACCGCCGTGTGCCTGGCACGGATCTCCTGGCCCATTCGGGCGAATTCGGCCTGAAACACCTGCAGCCTTGGGCCGAATCCCTGTCTTTTTCGCCCCACTCAACAGCTGGCGCCTTCCCCAAAGAAGACTTCAACAAAATTCAGGATAAGATTTAGCTGTTCACCTGGCTATCAAGGTGGTGTAGGATTTTGTGCGTCAAGTCCGTGCAATAGAAGGGCTGAGAGTCTCCACTTGAAACAGAATTGCGACCTCAAACTCCTGCAGTTGATGGAAGACATCATGTGCCACCTGGCTACACCGACAACACTGGCTTATAAATAACGTGTGATTTCCCTTTGTGCAGAGTAGTTTGAGGGCTTCAAACAGTCCCTCTGTAGCAGATAGGTCCTTGATGATCTGGGTAGATGTTTGATGCATGATCCAACCAAAAGTGAACTTATTTGCCACTCCTGAGGCTGCGAGAGTCAAAGAACTGCAACTGCAGAAGGGCACCCCAACCTAATAGCGATGGCCTATGATGGCCTCCACCCTAAACAGCGATGGCCTCCACCCTAGTAGCGATGGCCTCCAACATAAAAGCGATGGCCTCGCCTTGTAGTTATGGCCTAACGACATGACCTGCGCTTTCCCTGCACTTTCCCCCACTTCGGCACCTTGGGCGCTTGCAGCTTCTCAGGTGTCTTTGTCTCAGGCTTCTCTTCAGGCACAGGTTCGGTCCGATACCTCCGCCAAGCTTGACCACATCGGGGGCACCATGGGGCACCAAGCAGGGTGAAGAGAGGTGAAGAGAGGTGGAGGGTGAAGGGTCAAATTCCGATGGATTGTTTTGAACACAAAGACTGAGGCATACTCATGGGATCACAAGAACAGTTTTGTGCAGCGCGTTCACCAGCTCAGGACCTGGTGTTGGGCTGAAGACCTTGGCCCTGGGCCCAGCCAACCCAGGGCCATGGTAGGGTCACTTTGCTTGACCAATCTATAGTCACCCATGATCCAACACCCTAAAATATCCTAAACTCATCTTTAAAATTTGTGACCTTCATATAGCTGACCTTGCTTGTCAGGGGTTCTGAAGGCTCGAATCCTGCTGTTTTTGGAGGGCTCAAATCCTATCCGAATTCTTAAGGTCGATGGACTATGATGGACTGCCCTGCTCTCTTGGTTTGCCAAACGCTTTATCCTCATATTGCATTGAACCAATTGAAACTCCATTAGACTCTGCTGCGCAGAAGCTGCATATCCTAACATTCCTAACCACCCAAGAAGCCGCAGGACCAACAGCCTCACCGTTCAACACCCGAAAAAAAAAAAAAAAAAACACTTCAACAAGTTCTCCCACGCTACTAGGAGCAAAGGGCATCGCTACTAGGAGCAAGGACACTACTAGGGGCTCCTGGCCATACTACTAGGAGCAAGGACACTACTAGGGGCTCCTGGCCATACTACTAGGGGCAAGGACACTACTAGGAGCTCCTGGCCATACTACTAGGAGCAAGGACACTACTAGGGGCTCCTGGCCATACTACTAGGAGCAAGGACACTACTAGGAGGTCCTGGCCACACTACTAGGTGCAAGGACACTACTAGGAGCTCCTGGCCATACTACTAGGAGCAAGGACACTACTAGGGGCTCCTGGCCATACTACTAGGAGCAAGGACACTACTAGGAGGTCCTGGCCATACTACTAGGAGCAAGGACACTACTAGGGGCTCCTGGCCATGCTACTAGGAGCAAGGACACTACTAGGAGCTCCTGGCCATACTACTAGGGGCAAGGACACTACTAGGAGCTCCTGGCCATACTACTAGGAGCAAGGACACTACTAGGAGCTCCTGGCCATACTACTAGGAACAAGAAGCTACCATGAAGGAGTCGATGTGTCGATGGTCGAGTCGCGTCGACGAGACCACGAGCGTGGAGAAGCAACGACCGTACGACGAGTCTCGTCCCTCGGCCGAGAGACAAGACCAGCGGTTCCTCTGTGCTCAGAGGGGCACGGAGGTTCAGCAAAAGCCTCCAGGCAAAACACATGTGGGGTCGTGGGCAACTAGGAAAACCCACTGAGATTGATAGAGAGCCGGCATAAGTTTGCTTTTACCTGTTGATCACTGTCACTGTTTAGTCGTTTTTGCGACCAAGCCGGTGTTCTTGGCTTCTGCAAGACCAGTCCCCAACTGATGAGAATCCCTGCAATGTTCAACGAAACTGAGAGAAACACAGCTTTGAGGATAATAGTATTGCACACATTTGCACGCTATCTCACGCTAGGCCATAATAGTTATTTACACAGATAAGAAGGAGCTCAGGTTGATGTATCTATTTATACTTACTGTACATCCCTACCCTGCCAGTGTCCTCCCGAAGGTGGTTTCTTTTACCCCACCTCGTTTTTTACCTGTTGAGCACCAGACAGTGCCCGTGTACTCGGACTCGTGCAGCTCCGGTGGTTTCGGGGGGTTCGGCCAGAAGAACACCCCGCTCGGAGTGCGGGCAAAGGGCCCTACAGTAGGCGCTCGTTTGGGAGATCCACCGATCCACCGACCTCCAAGGCTCTTTGGGCGAAGGAATTGATTGGGAAGGGCCAACCAGGCTCGAGCTGGTGCTTCGGGACGCAGGCTCGAGCTCGACCGCGGCCGAGTGCACGTGGAAGGCTCCAAAACCAGTGTCCAATCCATGACTTAGCACGGATTGGGGAGCCAAACGGATTGATTGTGCAAACTTGCTGAAGACCAGATCAAGCATCAATTCCTGAGAGGTTCCTTTAAAGTGTCAAGAAGTCCGCCAACCCCGCGGCCTTCAGGACTCAGTTTGTTCGACACTTGTTGCGTCAACGCCAAATGCGCCACCATGGAGCAGGGAAGACTCAACACCTTAGACCCATACAGGCCACGTTCAAAAGGCCCCTGGCTCTTGGTGGCTACCTTAGAGGGCTCCTATCATGTCCTAAACGGTCAAACCTAGACCTTCCAGTCATTCTCAGACCGCTCCAGTCACCTCAAGGGGACCCCACCCGGCACGCTTCGACGCCCCCCCCCCCCCCCCACCCCCGGTGCCTCACGCTGTAGACGGGCGACGCCTCCTCCTCGTTCTCCGGCTCCGAGGACGCGCTGCCTCGGTCCGGAGGCGGACGAGCGCGAGCTGAGAGTGAGCTGATGGGAATCCCGAGTGATGTTACTGGTTGAGTCGATCCGAGTGATGCTGCTTCCACTTGCGGGACCGTTTTTGTTTTTTCTATGAAGAATTCAGGCTCTAGCGCTGCATTTTCGACTTCCAACCTTGCTTCAAACCCGCTGAGGCAAACAAGAGGAGCTCAAATCTGATCCACATTGGAAAGAAGTGTAGTCCTTTACTAGTTTTCGCACTCCATGGTCTTCAGGGACCGTCAGACTGAGAAGTTGAGTGACAAGCTCGGTAGTGAAGACAGCCAGAAAGTTACTAGACACTGGATTATGAACCTGCAGGTTCTGCATCGGCCAAACTGTTTATGTTCACTGTTGTATACATGTTCCATGACAAAACATTGATGCCATGTATTCCAAAAACATCAAGGCACAACAGCAGCATTCAGCACCAGCCACAGGATAATTCATGGGTGAAAAGCACATGAGGCGCCCTCGAAATCAATTGTTTCCGACTGGTGCAAAAGTTGAAATAATCATTCGTTTTTCGGGGGCCCTGGGCCTTATTGCTTTACATGGATTTGTGTAGTAAATCAAAACGATTTAGATTCAACATGACTCTGGAATCCATTCCTAACACGCTCGAACATAGATGATGGACTTCTTTGTTCAGGTGCTGTCTATATATGTCTAGGTTCGTGGGTCTATCCCTTGGCCTGGTGTGTTCGTGTAACAAGTGCCTACGTATCGAGAAGTTATCGCTAAAGTTTTAGCATTGGAACGGGGCAATCACCCTGGACAACCAATGCAAATGATGCGACAACTTCAGGAAACACGAGCACCACAGGTTGAATTGTATATTGGTTTTGCCAGCTTTGTGAATGTGCAACATTATTTGGTTGGTTAATGCCAAGTTGAAGGGTATTTGGTTGCAGGATGTTGCAGCTTATCATTCTTGGGGGGCCCTATCTTTACGGTTGGTTGGTGTACTTTCTCAGCACGACTGCTCTCTCCCTACTGAAGTGACCTAACACCCACTGGGTGGTGTTGCAAACTGTTCCTCTCTACAAGCCGGTGGGTTTTCAGGTGGAAAAAAACCACCAAAGTCCGCAAAAGCGTCCGCAAAACCACCGGTTCAGCTGAAACCACCGGTGGCTGTCCAGATGTTCACGGCTACACCTCCTCCACTCCGTCCCGGCAGCTCACCGGCCCAGTGGCTAGCGCTGCTCAAGGTCTCAGGAGTCTCCGTTTCGCTCTCCTTCGGTGTCTCCGCTTCGCTGGTCTCCTGACAGAGTCACCAATCTCTGAGAGAAGCTATGCCATGAGCTTCCTCCTAATAGCGATGGCCTCCAACACCTAGAAGCGATGGCCTCCAAACTAATACTTGAAGCTTCCTCCTTCGCCCAAGCGGCTAAATACAAAAACAACTCAAGTTCCACAATAGCAGAAAACAAAAACAAAGAGCAATCACTTGAAAAAAAAAAAAAAAACATGGACAGTCTCGCATTATAATCTCATTAATACAATATATAACATAATATATATATATAGATATAGATATCCAACCCATTTCTTAGAAGTTCGCCACTTGTTCAAACTGCACGCATTTGGCGACAATTTGCGCTCATTGTGCAGCAATTTGTTGTGGGCGTACACCTATATGGCCGGCCCAAGAAAACGTTAGTGAGTCTTCAGTCTTCAGCATCTAAAAACATGCCCAAAACCCTTTGAACACCTGACCCAAAAATGCGCATTTCAGGCTACACAAGTCAAAATAGTGCTCAAACCCTAGGTTTGAAACAAAAAACAACATGCTACAAATAAAGCTTCAGGTACCTGATAATTGGAGGACTAATCCAGTGAAACAAGACATGAAAACAGTGGAACAAATCACAATCAGCATCAATGTAAATCATAAACAACATTGCTGCAAGCACTTGGAAACACATCCAAACACTATGAGAATCTGGCTGGATGCAGATCTGGCGCGTTTCCAACTGTAGGAGTCACATCGGGGTGACGAACGGAGGTCGGGGTGCCCCTGTTACATCCATGGCCCCTGGATGGGACTAACATATCACCCAACTCCATGCGACTCCGACAGATCCAGCCGACCTTCGGCGCAACGACGGGCGCCTTGAAATTGAAGGTGCGCATCGCACCTGGCCGCTGGGTCAGTGATTTCATCTGATTTCCTGGTGTGGCGGGTGTCTTTTTCACCGCTCCCTAGTGCGTGTCAAGGTGTTGAAATGATTCAACTCAGTCGAAACCCGGGTGGGGCACCCGGCCTTAAAATGATCTTTCAAAACAAGGACTTGGCAAGTGCATTCGCCCGAACCTTACTGGAAAGTGATTCAAGGAGTAAGGTGACGTTGACATGAGTCATGAGCCCCAAGAAATGGGTGACGTGATTGACGTGACGTAAAACTGTAAAACAAACAAACCATGACACAAAAACACACGCCCCGAACGCGCCCCAAACGTCCCGTGGAAATGCACAAATGCACTGCCATGGCACATGGCAATGGCGATGGTTCTTCAGCAGGCTCAGGAAGCTGTTCATCATGGATCTCAGAAACCTGAGCATTTCCGGTGTTGCGGAAAAAACAACAAAGCGACTTGCCTGGGGTCTCCCATCCAAAGAGAGTGAATCTAGGGTCTCGAACTGGGGAACTGAAGGTCTTTGAGCGCCTAGTTCACAGGTCCTCCTACTGCTACCCATTTAATCCAATTTAGAAGAGATTTGCTGTGACTTTATCAACTTTATCACTTTAACACAAAGGCTTGGGCTCGCAAAGAAATTCTGCATATCAAAATACATATATATATATATATTTTTCTGTTTGCTGCGTTGGGATGCTCTGGTTCCTAGAACAAAGTCAGGCTGGATGTTCAACTGATGACTAGAGAGATACAAGAAGCGTGTTGAGAAGCGAAAGGGGTGTTGAGATTGAATCTGTTTAGAAGACCTGCAATGACATCCTGAACTCATGCATCAAACGACCAACTGCTCGGTTCACGCCCAACTGCTTGGATTGCAAACCTGTTCCTGGAGACCTGCTCGGAGTCTGGCGACCTGGCCTCTGCAATGTCCGCGGCAATGTCCTTCGCAACTTTGATGGGCGCTGACTCTTCATCCGAGTCTGACAGGTCCTCGGTTTCAGAATGAACAATGCGAGGGATTGCAAGGGTGTATATTTAATACAGTAAGGAAACATGTAATTACATGTATACAGTATATCATCATATATTATCCGCGAAAAAAGCAACAGCAATCTACTGTCATTTCCTCTCATCGGACTTCTCACGTGAGTATTCAGGATAGTTGTTCAGGTTGTCATCTAGCTTTAATGGCACGTGTGCATAATTATCGTCTCCCTTTCTCGTTGTGAATTTTAACCTACCCTCCAGCTCCGCAAATTCCGCTGTGCCCAGCGCGCTACGGATATTCCGCATGGTCCAATAATTGAAGTTCACTCTACTCGCAGTCATTTCCTTTACCGGCTCGCAAATACAATCTGTTCGTCCGGATGCTTTGAGTAATGTGATGGCCATGTTGCAGTCTTCACTTGTAGCCTCATGACCTGCCTCCCTCATCAAGCGGGCCATCGTGTCCAACAGGCCATCGATGTCTTTACTGCGGAACCATGCGTTGCATGTCATCAACCCAAAACAAAGCACCGCGAGGAACTTGTGCCTTGGCTGCAGTGGCAATGAAGACATTCAGGTCCGAAGGCTGTGGCTGAACACCGTGGTCAAGCATGTTTTGAAATACATGCTCCGCAGCATCCAAATTTCCTGCCTCCTTTGCAGCATTCAGCAAGGCTCCAAAATCAGCAAATCCGAGTTTAAAGCCGGCATCCCGCAGTGCGTCAAACCACAGCTGGGCCCTCACCATATCACCCTGTCTGGTGGCAGCACTGACCATCATATTAATGCCACCTGTGCAGCTTTTATCTTTTCAAACCCCTTTCAGCTGCTTGAAGATCGCATGCTTTCGAAGCGGTTGCAATTACAGCCCCATATGAGGTAGAAGGAGGATTGATACTATGCCATGGCCTGAAACCATTCTTCAGCAAACTTTCAATCTCCATGGCTTAGATGCTGCTAAGATTGCTGCAGTGAAGCAATGTGCATCCGGCTCAAGTTTAAAGTCTGCAAGCTTGCCGAACCAGGCCTCTGCATCTTCTACATTTCCTGTGTTGGCTGCATGGTGATGGCGGCCTCCTGTCCTACAAGATCTTCAAGACATTCAATGGCTGCTCGAAGGTCTCCACCCCTTGATGTTCTCAAACGATCCAAAATCTCAGCGATGTCGCCCTCGCCTGTGGCCTGGCGGTTCTCTTTCTTGCGCTTGTTGAGACCTCGTGGCTCCCTGACTTTTGCCAGACTACACGCCGTGGCTGGTACTGGTAAGGCTGGAGCCCTAAACCCAAGCCTGGACAAGGGCAAGCATGAGTACCCGTGAGAGGAATTGCGTGCAATGGCTAGCTGCTAAACAAAGTTGACTTGTTACTTGTTGCCGAGGAAACAAGCCTGACGCGCGGGTAAGTTGATATCGCTGATATGATACACTTCTATTTTTGTTTGTAGTGTTTGGCCAGGTTAGAAGAACTCATCGACCAATGGCCATCGTCTGGATTTCATAGCATCCAAATGATCCTGGAGCATGATCCAAGCGAGCATGACAGCAACTAACTACACCGTGGGCTTTGGAGCCTAGCCTTTGTTACTAGTAGCTTCTTGCCACTAGTGGCAATGGCCTCCAACCTAGAAGCGATGGCCTCCAACCTAGAAGCCGTTGATTAATGTTCAAGAATCATATAAAACAAGTTCCACGTCAAAAGTGGCCCTGAGCCCCAAGCAACAGGGTCTGAAGTCACACATCCGTATAAATATTGTGGTGGTAATCTATCACCAGGGGCCAGTCTGACATCTGTTTTATGCCAAGAGTCTGAGAAGTCATCCAGGTTCAACACCTCTTGCTTCTGAGGCAAGTGGAAACCACCGTTTGAGTAGTGGTTGCTGCAGTAAGTGTGGTCATAGCCGTAGTGATAGCCTCAGTTTTTTGGCCCGAAAGGTAGCTGTACAAGTTTCGGAGAGGGCCTTCAAGTACCACCCTATTGCCCATGAGAAGACCGTAACCTCACATCGGCACGGCACCAAGACGCCACCCTGTTGCTGAAAACCCAAGATTACCTGCATAACATGCATCCCCAATTGAAGTTAAATTAGGGTCTGGATCTGTTCATATATATATATGTTATATGTATATGTAATTATATGTATATATACATACACACACGGTATATACGGATACAATAGAATTACAATATCAATACACAATATTTATATGTTCATACGACTGGTGCAACAAAAGTCTCCTGTCTCCTGTCAACAACCAGTCCACGCCCCCAGCAAATATTGCTCCGTCTTCCCATTTTGTGAAGTGGTTATGTGCCTCCAAAGTCCTGTGAAAGCAATGTCACGGTCCCAGTGGCTTTTTACCAAGTCCGTGGATCTGTCCCGAAATGAAAACTTCCCTAAAGTCAGCTTGCAGCACAAAAGGTTATCAAATACATGAAATATTTGATGATGACTTCTGCTTAAGTGGGGTATAGTCCTTGCAGTGCTGAAAACAAACACGACCGCATGGGGAAAAAAAACAGCAAAGATGCTCCCCATGTCATAGGAGTTCATCTGCTGGCCATAGTATTGGTATTCCATGGCTGCGACGCCCTGGCGTGCTGCGAAAATCCGCTGCAACCTATTCAGTCGTTTGTTATGCTGCAGAGCTGGGAGGGTCCAGACTGTCCAGACTTGGTTTCGCGTGAACCCATTTCCTTGTTTTAACATCCACATGGGACATCATGGGAGTAAGCCATCACAAACGTTTCGCAAGGTGCTGATCAAAAAACACAAGTTAAGAAGGACGCCTTTCAAGAAGGCTGCTTTCAGGGTGGTTAGTGGGTGCCCGGGGTGGTGGGGGGTGGTTGCTAGACTTTGCTTTTATGTGCGACTCCTACAGCAGTGCCGCATACGGACTGCTCATATTCATACTTAGATGAACCCCCCAAATGAAGAGGTATGAAGAGGTATTCCGTCCCAAATGGGAAGGATTGATTAAGCATTGGGTCCGGTCGTCCCATCTCCCCGACTCAGCGAGGGCGAACTCGCCCTCCGCGGTGCTCTCCTGAGGCTGGAAGACAGCGGCCGTGGAGGAAAGCGTCGATGAGTTGGCAAACCTCGGCCATTCGGAAGGTTCCACGCGGAAGGTTCCACGCGGAGGGTTCCTTGCGCCGCAACCCAAGAAGGTCTCCACTTTGAGGAGCTGACTTGACTTGATCTCATTTTGTCACCGACTTAGCACAAACAAGTATAGAAATTTGTGGCATGTATAATATACAGAATGGAAATGCCACACCCTTGAATCCACAAAATGATTCAACATCGCCGCGCATGCCCATATAAGTCGTATGGTTCCGGATTTCAAGGAAGCGGATTTCCAGCTTAAAGCACACTGCTGCACTGCTTGGAGAAGTTGGAAGGTCTCCCTACGTCTAATACACAGTCGGCAAGCCAACCCCCAAAAAAACTTCCACAAGTGGGGGCTACCTCTCCGAGGTACCACAGGCAATAAAAGACGCTTCGTTGAACCAAGATTGAACCAAAGAACTGCACAGCCGTGAGTCTCTACCTACCCGACTTGGAGCACAGCGAGCACTGCAGTGAACACACTTGAGGTTGTCTACCCCCCTGAATAGTTCCATGCATATATACCACTTTAATGTGATATGTGTTTCTTCCTTATCGCTTTACAGTGCTCCGACTAAAGTGCAACATGGGTAGTATGCATGCATGCGTGTGTGAGCTGGCAAACATATGCCATGGGACAATTCATTCCAGACGCCCGCACAGCTAGTACAGCTAGTGGGCCATTGCGTACGAGTGTACGGGGAGGTGTTTTACGAACTCTGGTTATCGATTTTGTTTTTGGTGTGTCATCCTTTTCCGGCTTGGTACAAACATCGACGTCTATGCGCAAACAAAGATACTGCAACACAACACTCCTCACTGTCTTTGTGGCGGAGACAAACCTGAGAAGAAACGCATCTTGTTAATTACTATAAACGGTTGTCCATCTGCAAGGTGTTTCATGTTTCTTCTTTTATGTTCATTTATATTCATCCTTATAGTTTACGGTGGACGACGCATCCTTCTGGCAAACTTGCAAAACAACATGTCATAATACTTTCCTGCATGTAGTTCTTTCTTTTGCTGTAATACTCTCTCTGGTGACGATGCTTCAACAGTATATTATGGTGTTCTTTGATCGGGGAAACGAACCAGCCGTTTTCGGAAACAGCCACGACCGCCCCCTGGCCTGCCTGTGCTTCTTGCAGTTCAAGGCGCATCTTTTTAGTCAGAAAGATGAGGACACGTAAATGAATCTTCAGCGCAGGACCTCATCGCTGGTCCGTGGGCCGGTGCGAAAAGGGATGAAGACCCGAAGCCGAATGGGAGATCTTGGGAGTATCAACTATCCATTTTCAAAACCATCCTTGGACTCAAACCTGACAACCCTTTCTTTGATTGATGGCCCAGAATCCTCCATCGCTCGATCATCCGTTGAAAAAGAGATTTGGGACTATATGGTAAGTACTCATCTACGTCTATGAATGTATGATCCTTGACCAGGTAATTCAAACAAATTGTATCAGGATTCGTGCATTTCAGACAGCCAAGCAGCTGTTTTGTCAAAAATGCTTCTGTGAGAAGTGGTGCTTTCCTTCCCCAACCTTCATTTCTAGTAATCTTCCACATCTTATCATACCTTGGACATGTTTAACCAAAAGCAGGGATAAAATACTGCCGTTGCAAAAGTAGCTCGTGTTGTTTAACCAAATTCCTATATGATGTGCTCCACAAGGTTCGATAGATTCTCATCGAGCAACTGGCCGACACTAAGGTTGCTCACGAGTGAGTGTGGAAGTTTCACCAACCCTTAGCCACTATATATAGAATTCAAAGACCATGTTCTTTTGATGCAAAGCTCTTGACATACTCTAATTATAAGCCATGCAAGAAGCAACATCACGGCTCTACACATCTTTGCACCATCAGAGTTCTTCCCGTGATCCAAGCACCCGAAGCTGCCGAAGCCAGAGGGCCAGGTGCACCGAGTGCCCCGGCAGGGCACAAATGCCAGGCTAGCGCGTTGCTACGCTTATGTAACGGGGAGTTGGGGTTGACAAGTTGTCTAGCCAAATGGCACAGAAAAGGGCGAACGGCGGCGTGAGTGTGGCTGGCAAATTCTTCTGGCCCGGACCTGCGAACATCAAGATCAAGGCTGGCAAGCCGAAGGACATAAACTTTATGAAGTGTTCTGGAAACGGTTTCGTTTGGATTGATTTATTGGTATAAAGGTGGGATCCAGCAACTCTGAAGGAGGGTCTTCTTGGCTTTGTGAGGTGCCCAATGTATCCCACGGATGCTTCGATTTGGCGACAACGAACCCCAATAGTGCGTTTCTTCAAACCCATTCATGGCCGCATGGACTGACTCCAAACCTTCTCGGTTTGGGCTCCAATGTTGAACTACGTTGAGTGTAAGTGTACTTGGGAGTCAGTCCCTACCTTCTGATCCTTCTGAGGGTACTTTGAGGCCTACTTGATGAGTAGTCAGTCGTCACATCATGATTTTGTGCCGCACCCTCGGTCAGGTGAGGTCCCTTGAAACTGCCCTCTTTGGATGTCAAGAATCCTGCTGATGATCCCCATGTCAACTACTTAGCTAAAAGGATCAATTGCATGTCCAAAGTGCTAGCAATCTTCCATGAGTCTCTACAAACGCACACTGCACTTCACCTGGCATATCCACATGGAACAAATGGAGAAACACGGTGGGGATCCCGACACGGTGCAACCTCTGCGGAGGTGCCATAGTCAAAGAGTTTGAAGCCGCGGTGCTGGTGTTCCTCCGCGTGCGTTCGAACCTTCCCGGTTGAGAAAACTAGGGGACACGTGTTAAACACCCAGCTCTTTCATGGACATGAACATGGCTGATACAGGGGAAACACTATGCCTAAGTCCTGCCTAGGTTGCCTAGTCATGCATGGCACCGCTAGATGCAAAAGTCATACCTCATGCCTAAAGTGCAAACCCCCGAATATACATTTGGACACAAACATCTATAGAGGTCGCCTGCGATTCAGGTTTGGGCACGACATCTCACGAAACCTTCCCTGCAGCAAATTCTGGTTTACTCTTGCTTCTGGGCATGACATTGTCTGTTGCCTGTATGTATACTGCATGTCAATGTTAGAGGCCAATGGATCGTGCACCTCGGGCGGTCCCTACCCATCAGGATAATCACACCTTGTTGGACCAGGTTTCTACATGTCCAGTCCAGTCCAGTTTCCAATGTTTTGTTTGATATATATATATACAGTATATATGCACTCAAATGCAATAGCTTATATTTGCCTCTTGTCTGGAGGTGTTTGTTGATGCTTCCATGAGCCTTGCACATTGCCCCACTTTGCCAATCCTGAAAATGGTTAGAAAAGCGCAGCGGCTGAATTTGCGTATGGATTCTACACCCTGCTATCGGGCCCCCGGCCGCTCCTGTCTGCCAATGTGCAGGACTGTGGTCGACATTGGAAACAGCACCTGAATGGAATGAACTCACGGCTCTTCTCTCGATGTTTGAATTTCTTTGCAAATAGACACGTACATAGAAACGTACATAACATGAAATAGAAACGTACATAACATGACATAACATAGAAACGTACATAGAAATGTCTGCAAATAGAACCGTACGAGTACATAACACCTCGGACTCATGCCCCAGTTCTTGGCAACCAGCATTTAGAAGATAGACTGCACCCCAGTTCTGATCCTTATATGACCACAAACAACAACACCAGCTTGGAACCTGTGTGATCCTTCAGCCATACCAACGTTGGACTTTCAGAGCAGTGCTCGCGGCTCGCCGGGGATTACAGGTGCCCAATCGGATGGTGCTCGCTTTGCATTTGCATGTTCTGTCTGTGTCAAATTTGAATGGCCACAACTCGGACGTTCGACACATGGGAAACCGATTGAACTGGGCTGTTGGAGAGGACACACCTGCGGACACCATGCCCCGCGGTGTCACACACTGCACAGCATGAGATCAGCATCGGTTTTGCAGGAATATCGACCCACTGGACACCCAATTCGCCACATGCCTTCAGGTTTTCAAAGGGAATTGGCTGTCTGAGTATCCAAACATCAGAGCAGCATGATGACGTTGGATTTCAATGGGATTCCAATGCTTGCAATTGAAGGTGCATGAAGGTACTACAGTATACAGTCTTCCCCTTAAAGCTTTGAGTTGAAACCGCTGGACTTGCAGTGATTGACTTGCGGCCCTGGCTTCAAAAGGACCGGTCGGACAGGGAAACATGAAGTTAATATACACATTACCCACATGATCAGTTGGAGCATTTTTTTCAGATGCGAGCCATCGCAAAAACGTCCTTTCAATGGAAGTCTCAATCTGAATGTTTTGGTCCTAATTCTGGGACCCCATCCACGAAGTGAAACCCATTCCACATAGTATCGCAGAGTCCCACACCCCAAGTGAAACCCCAACAAGGCTGTCCGATGTATTTTTGTTTCTTTCAACGACTCATTACTTGAGATTCGCGACGAACGGCGCTTTACGTTGAGATTCGCAAACTCTGACGCACGACAGGTTCGCAAGCAAATGATCGCGGACGAATCGGACGGTGCGCCCAGTGATCCTCCCATGGCAGAGCAGTGGGAGCAACCACGGTGTGAAAGCAAATTAAAACCCCATGTTTTCAAGGTTCCTACGTTCGGTTCTTCTGTCCCTTCGGCTCAATCGCCAGCCAACCGATGAGCCTCGCTATTGCAGGAGCCAACCGATGAGCTGTATACTGTAGTGTGAAAGTGCAATGCCCGGAACAATCAATAAAGGACGCATCAGGCGCCACGACCAGAACATGCCAGGGGCTGCAAGCCCACCGAGTCATCCGAACGTCCGAGCAAATCAGCGGTGGACATCGGCAAAAGGGGACATCCGCTCAGGTAGACTATTGATGATCCCAAACACTCCATGTATGGTATAAAATATGCCTACATTGACCCCTGAAACCACCCCAATGGATGTATTCCATGGAGTGTCTGGGGATGAAGAAGAGGCACCCCTGACATAGGAGATGTTCTACCGTTCTGGTAGGTCGGGTTTTTGGGTTTAGGGTTTGATTCATCAACCGTTCAAACCGGGATTCTGGTAGGAGTTTGTCTTTTATTTGGGGGGACGGGCTCCGAGTTATCTTTTTTCATTCTTTTTCTACTGCGGTCGAGGCACCAAAACCCAGGGACCTCGCTGCATGATGTGCTTCACCTGATGTGCTCACCGCCCAAAACGTGGGCGAGGGGAAAAGGAGAGCGGTGCGTGCCAACACAATGGGCTGCTGAGAAGGTTGTGTCCCGTGGCAAAACAAAGGGCCCCAAGCCTCAAGCCTCGCGGCACTGCTAATAGAGGCAAAGCCTCTACTATGCGGGAGGTCGTGTGCGTCTCTATCTATGTGAGGGATGGGCAAGACACAGTGACACAGTGTCAGGAAACGCAAGCCTTTCGGGGGACGCGCAACTAGTGGTTTAATTACTTGTATACATAATGCATATAGTATAAATATACAGTATATATAGGCTTCTCATGTACTCCAATCCATCCCGATTTCGCCAACGTCAAGCACCTCGACAACTTAAAACCTGCCAACAACCCTGGAGACAATGTCCCTTCCGATGAAGAAAATGTGTCCTAAAGGGCCTAAAGGAAATACCTCTGCGGTGCATCTTATGACTAACTTGGAGAGGAAAGTGAGTGAACTGTCTGGTTGAATCATTGTCCGTGATCGACCAAAAGGTCCTGTACGGTCGACCAAAATCCTCAACGGACCGTTGTCCATGTCCGTTGGATTTGATTGGATACTATAAGTCTGAAAGCGTCTCTAGTGGTTGCTGGTTGCTGGTAAAAAGAGAAACCTCCAAGTCTATATGTTGCACTCAAGATAAATAAGCTAATTATATAGCTAATAGATGCTAATAGCTTCCAGCAACGGATGTGACACCACCTCTTCACCACCTCATCACCTCTTCACCTGGCCAAGCAAGCTGTCCAAGTTCAAGTGATGTCTGGACACATGTTGTACAACATGTGATGCTCCAATGCTGCTCCAGGGCACATTCTGCGCATTCTTCCTGTCCTAAGGACGCGTGCCGCGGGAGCGAGGGGTCTCAGGACCGACGAGGCGGAACTGGATTCTGCCGAGGTTCAACTTCCCAGATTCCTCAACCTTCACTGAGGCTTCTGTTTGAAACTTTGAGAGATCAAGACCCAAGAATTTCAGCATTCATTTCCAGGTCTGCAGTTTGGACTGCCCACCTACCCAACCTACTATAGATCAATCAAATCTCCATTAGACACCCCCAAAGAACGGATGGTCGAGGTTTCGCCTTTGGATGGTGGCTGAGGCGAGGCCCCCCTCGCCCAAACCTCAGTTCGGGGGCCCCGGCCCAAGTGCGGAAGTTCACGGAGAGGTTCTGCTGATGAGGCGGCTCCAACTGCCAACCTGTGGGAGCCGCTCTGCGAGTGTCGCAGAAAGACCCTGTGACGGTCCTGAACATGGACCGTGGAAGATCATTGATCCAATGTGCCGGGTCTTTCACCGCCCATTGGTTTCCTGGAGGAGAATAGAGGTTTTATGACTTTTTGAGGGTTCCACCATCAAACAAGTACTTTGCTGGACACTTTGAAGATCTACAAACGTGGTCTTCACTGTCAAAGGATGGGTTTTCACGGCACCATGATAAGGGGGTCTAATGCTGTGTGGTGCTGGAAGATATTCACACCTCCAAACATCGCCGGTCGACCCGTTGCTATGATAGAGGCAACGGATTTTCAGCGGTCGACCCGTTGGCAAGAGCAAAGTAATCATCACCGTGTGACTCCAAACTAAGATTTTTTTACATCATCCCAATCTTAATGAATTGCGATCAACATGTGCTTGATGCTCTTTGTGTTTCGTGTGTCCAGAACCTTTTTCTCAAGCTGTCGCCGAATTGAACATTCAAAGCTCTATGTCGAAATCATAAATCTATGAACGGCAGTGCTTCGGCTTCCCTACCAATGGACAGTCAGCAAACACCCGGTTCTTTTTGTGCAGGCGGCACAAACAACTCATTGCCCACCACGTCGTGACCAAGCCGAACGTGGTCAGACCGACGTGGTCGACAGCTGCGTGAGGTTGACATCAAGTTGATGTCGCTCATCCAAGAATTGGTCCGTGCTGTTTTTTCTATTTTGGGCACACGTTTGCTGCCTCCAAATGATAGGCAAAGGCTGTGCAAGGGGCTGTGTAAGAGGAAGTGTACAAAAGAGCTTGTTGCGGTTGTGACCTTTGTTCAGGTATCCTACGAGACGCCTGAATTTTGCGGGTAGAGGTTTCTCAAGTAGAAACCCACTTGTGAGGCTCACTTGGATTTGCTTGAGGAACAAAACATCTGGAAAATGATCAATCTTCCCCAAGGGAATCACCACATGGAGAAATCAACATCAAAAGCACCTTTGCCAAGGCTTAAACTGCAGTGCTTGGAGCTCCTGGTCGGACATCGGTCGTTCACACGGCGCCCGGGCCTTTGCAAAGATCCATCAGGGTACTGTAGCACATCTCTTGATCCAAGTAGAGCCCTGCGAGACAAAGAACTCTGAGACAAGTAATTAATGTAGACTCTTGATTCATAGGCCCCCCTTATATGAAGAGGTGTCTCAATCCTAATGGCGGGGGGTTATTAATCAAGAGTCTACGTTATGGGTTCTTGAACCACGAGGAGAGGAGACACCAACGTCGTCACCCGCAGGCCGCTGGGCTTGCCGTCTGCCATCCAACGTGGTTTTCAAGGGACGAACCCGGAGAGAGAAGGAACACGACTTGAGGATCTCTTGGACACCCCTTGGACGGTATATGGATCTCCTAGGTCAGTCCAATTTCATGCACGATCAAACCTTGGGATCCACGTTAGTTATCCCAGAAAGAGAGCATCGACGTCACTGACGTCACATCTCGAAACAACACACCAGTCTCCACTGGTCTAGGGGGTTCACCATGTTGAGGAAGTAGCATGTGTTTCAAGAAGTGGTGAAAAGTACTGCAAAGCCATCTCTAGTGAATTTCAACCATCACTGGTGGTCGTTAATGTTGATCACAAATAGCGCTGCTCACAAATAGGCTGTTGATATTAATATTGATGCTAAACAATCATGTACGATCAACTTATCCAAGTCTGCGTCCTTGTCATCAGTGTTGCAGTTTTTATTGGATCGCAACTTAGCCATACACGAAGATGTCCTGTGTGACAGCTTGGTCACAAAGCAAAGGGGAAACCACTAGCAGCAACAATGGCAATATGACTCAATGATTCTAGGTGTTCTATTCTTGGCCAACCCCCCAAATCAATTGAACAAACGTTAGATGCATGGCCACAGGTTTCAAAAATATATAGACAAATAATGACAAATATATAATGAATCAATAATGAGCAGCACCACGCCCCGCTTCCCACGTCTCCAGCCACTGTACGTCTCCAGCCTCGCACCCCCTCGTCCGAGAAGGCCGCCAAGATCTCTGCCTCACGGAGGTTCCGCGGATTTTTTCCGCTGATTTGCTGTGGGCACCTGGGGAAGGCACCTGGGGAGGCACCAGTCAATCCCTCCTTTAATGACGAACATTTTAGGGCCCAAACATGGTGGCTAGTTCGATCAATCATGCAAACCCCATGTGCTTCTGGGGAACAGCTAAGGTCGAACACAATTGACAATGGATCTCAACCTCTTAGTCGGAGTCTTCCATAGTCTTTCTACTTTGTCATCTGTACAGTCTACTGTAAAGAGCCGTTGGTCCATTGGTGCGAGTTGATGTTGGCAATGCCCCGCAGCTGATCACAGTTGCAGGACAAACGTGTTGTCGCAGAAGTCCGTTTCATCGGCTTGCTGCTGATCTTGATTCCTTCGAGGAGGGGCTTTCGTGTCTTTCAATGGCCATGGCGCACGAGGAACAAATTGCCTAAGCTTGGCCCCTTGCATTGCGAAGCTGCAATCATCAACACACACAAATCAACAGAGGCACCAGACTTTCTTGAGACATCTCGCACGATTGTAAAATATATACTGTACACTTCTGCCACCAGCTATGCTTGTGGATCGGCAGCATCCTTATCCACTTCGTCCCTGCATCTTCCCTGTCTCACCTTCATCACCATAATCGAGCATCACGCAAGACAGGAGTGCGCTTCGTTTCGGGAGCGGCCACCATAGCCAATCTTTTGTTTCGGAGTTCCTGATTGACGAAGCCGGTGCCCTTCTACCAGCTTGCCCTTCTGTCCGCCTTGTGGTGCTTAGCTTTGCCTGCAGGCTCACTTGCAAAAAGCTGCTAAACACTGGGAGCTATAAAGATCCAAGAGAGGTTGAGAGACCTTAGCAAGGACCCTGGTCACCCCAGGGTCACCCTGGTCTGTGGAACTGAGATGGGCCTTGCATGGCATGATCCCAGCACAAAGGGAGGTCGCCATGGATCCCTGGAGTCTAGCGGCCAGCCATGACCCGTCGGCCGCACGTGACGCGACTCACCCGATGAATAGACCACATAAGAAGAAAACCAGGTCATTCTTAGATGGCAAAGGAGGTCTCCTAAAAGCCATATGAATGAAATGATGTTTTTACTAATGAAAGAACTTTCATTAGTAATCACAAGCTTTAAAGACAAATAGGTTTCTTGTGATTACTGTGTTCTCCATATTTGCAAGTGCGATCGACCGACACGGCCTTTTTCGCGGCACACGACTTCGAAGCCCGAGCCTCACCATCCTTAAAGTTGTAGAACATGACCTGCACTAAGGCACACAACCAGGTGTCTGCCAGGTGTTACAACATCTGGGATCTAAGCTATATATTATATACCTATGACGAGCCTGGAGCAGCCCTTGAATATAATGCCGGTTTGGTCATATCTCTTGGCAGCCCAATAGTTAGCCTGCGTGGCGTACATAACCACATGACTCATGACTTGGTTGTCTATCAACACCCCGAACTGAAAGGGATATTTTGGACATATCTACTCAAAAGAACTACAGTAGCGACCAACATGCAAATATCATGAAGTCAACGCCGTTCACGTCGCTTGGGTGTCGGGTGTGAATGTTCTTTGGACGCAGGGACACCACTCTGCAAAAGGGGTGGCGGATGTGATGTGATTGTGAAACCAAAGTCAGTACAAAGGTTCTCGATTCCAGGGTTGCTTGGCAAGATCATGCATGCTCAGATCTGACCCGTAAGGGTTGATCCTCCGCAATAGCATACATGATCCTTAGATGTCCAAGACTCTATTTTGCCCCACTGCAGTAAAGGAAGTTCCTCTGCGGGTCACCTAAAGATTACTAATTGAATAACCCTAAATTGTGTTGCATCATGTTGCATCAATGTTCAGTGACTTCAGCACTCTAAATTTATCTGAATTTGCCTTTTCGATCCCAAAGCTAGCTGGAACAGCGGAAAAGTGTGTTCGCAGTTATTGATGGAAGTTCTTATCCACGTATCTTGGCAGCTGCAAATGAAAGAACAATTCTTTACATCGCAATCCAATGCTTCTCATGTTTTCTTGGAGTTGGCGGAAGCTTGCTCACATCCATCTCGTACCTATAGGTACTGCCTTCAGGACTTCATCTGCCTTCTAGAATCTAGAAGTTAATCAGTCCATCACGCGGACGCGTGGCGCCACCACGTGCCGTGCTCCCGAATCGGTGCCTTGCCCAGCATGGTGCCAGCCATGCAACCAAAGTCCTGTTTCGTGGCTGTTGGGCACACGGAGCCATGGTCAGCGGGAAAATGAAGCATCAAAAATACCCCATCCACTGCAGAATTCCAACCACTCCAGCCGAGGGGTGATTGAGGCGGGGTCATGTGAGCTACACACACATGCCCATGTAAAGAGAAACAAGGGCCTGGACTCAGTCAGAAAAGGCTTGAGGAGTAACCAAGCCCGTGCATCACACCCAAACCATAGCTCTGCGACTGGGATGAATGATGGGTCTTCCAAGTGTGAAGCGTCATCGACCTCCCACCTTCAGTGCATCGAAGAATGATCTCCCAACAGAGAAGGTGAGCAGAGAGCCCAAGAAGCAGGTGAGCCCAAGAGGGAAGTTGATTGTAGTGGATTGAGAGATAGCACAAGGGCCCCCAAGTTTGGTGTTTTATATGGACCGCCATCTATAAGACATGTAGGAGTTTGTGACATCTATATAATTTCTCTGAAACCACTGTAACTGTTCCTATCTCCGGGATCACCCTGGACCATCCATCATCCGTCCTGGGTGTCCAATGGGGGTCCAGCGGACCATACATATATCCATAAATAAATGGTGCGGGGTAGTCGTGTTCTGACCTGTCGGATGACCGAGGAGTGTGTAAATTGAAAAAAATGGAACAAGAAACACCTGTGAACTATACCCCAGAGTCCTCTTCGGTCTTTTTCTGGGGCTTGGGGAGGCGTCGTTTCTTCCAAGATGACGCCCGTCCACGTCCGTCACGCAGAAAAAGAGCGCCAGTCAGTATGGCCAAGGTACATTCACGAAGACACATGAGACTGGATCTCCCAAGTCGGCCTGAAAGAGGTAGCTGCTCCTGGCATGGCAAGCCAGGGCTTGACAGCACCAAACCACTAGTGTCACTAGCAGCAGTTTAGCTCTTCCGGGCGAGGAAGAGAAAGCGACATGAATATGAATGGACTTTGGACCAATTCCGCAAAGGAGATGTCTTCACTCCAGCCCACAGCTTGATGGATCATCTCATCGGCATCCTCGAGAGAACATGCTCGGTGCTACACAGCCCAAAAACCTTCAATGGTACTCTCCATGTTCCATAAATCCAGCAAACATGGAAATGGAACATGTTTCCTTGACAAATTGTAAGTGTCTTACTCCAAGAGAGGCGCTTCCACTTACAGTACATATTTGTTGGAGGGCAACTGACAACTGACTGTGAGAAATGATCATGTGCCCGCGGTCGCAGCAGCCTATCATAATAATGCCCAACTCACGACCAACTTCGATCAAATCTGTACAGGTGTCATCATGTGTCAAAGGAAGAGAAGGTATCAACAACCACAAATGGAATATAGATGAACTTAGATGAATATATGAATACACTATATACACCTCTTATGTTACTGGTACGAAATATATATACATAATGTATATATATTATATTATATCTAATTATATACTCGTATTTGAGCGGCTGGCAAGGGATGCTATCGTCTCTAGTCCTGCCGCACGCTGATCGTCATGATTCAATTGTCAGGTGTGGCATGGTGTCCCATTTTTAGATTCTTAAGTTCTTAAGCATGGAACCAGAACCCCTGTATGCCAAGGCGGTAGAATAGCTTGATGTCATGGATGTTGCATCCCTCAAACAACCCGGCCTACCATCGATTCACAAGACTCACGAATCCTTGGCAGGCAGAAAAAGGACACTCATATGATCCACAACAGGTTGCTGCAAAACCCCCATGCACTCGGCGGGGTTCACTCGCACACGTTGCTTTGCTCTTTCGACCTTTGCTCCTAGTAGCGAACATTGCTCCTAGTAGTACGGCCAAGAGCCCCTAGTAGCTTCTTGCTCCTAGTAGTACGGCCAAGAGTCCCTAGTAGCTTCTTGCTCCTAGTAGTACGGCCAAGAGCCCCCAGTAGCTTCTTGCTCCTAGTAGTACGGCCAAGAGCCCCTAGTAGCTTCTTGCTCCTAGTAGTACGGCCAAGAGCCCCCAGTAGCGAACATTGCTCCTAGTAGTACGGCCAAGAGCCCCCAGTAGCGAACATTGCTCCTAGTAGTACGGCCAAGAGCCCCTAGTAGCGAACATTGCTCCTAGTAGTACGGCCAAGAGCCCCCAGTAGCTTCTTGCTCCTCCTAGTAGTACGGCCAAGAGCCCCCAGTAGCTTCTTGCTCCTAGTAGTACGGCCAGGCCCCTAGTAGCTTCTTGCTCCTAGTAGTACGGCCAAGAGCCCCTAGTAGCTTCTTGCTCCTAGTAGTACGGCCAAGAGCCCCTAGTAGCTTCTTGCTCCTAGTAGTACGGCCAAGAGCCCCCAGTAGCTTCTTGCTCCTAGTAGTATGGCCAAGAGCCCCCAGTAGCTTCTTGCTCCTAGTAGTACGGCCAAGAGCCCCAAGTAGCGTCCTTGCTCCTAGTAGCGATGCCCTTTGCTCCGTTCGTAGCGAACATTGCTCCAAGTCCATCGCCCAGCCGTTCGCTCCTGGGCATCGCTCGCGCTTCTCCACGGCTCCCAGCTCGCACGTTATCGGAGCTCCATGGCGGGGCGGATCCCCGGCCGGCGGCAACCGCGTTCGCTGAGTTCTCGGTTCTCGGTGCGGCCGAAATGAATGGAACCATTTTTGTTACACAACCCGAAGCAAACATCATCAAACAGTGGACTTGTATGTTTTTGTGTTTTTTTTCAGATAGGATTCCAAATAGACTGCAACTGGGGTTCTGGGATGTTCTGGGCACAGCCAGTCTTCGTCTGGTGGCAAAGACTGGATCCGGGGACAACATTGGGTCGATTCCATGACCTGATTCATGGGATGTTGCTTCCGAATTCGAAGGCAACGTTGCCTGCCAAACCAACGTCACACCTGTCGGGGCTTCACACATGGATGGATTCACCGCGGTCCAAAAAGAACGCCCACAAACTGCTGTCTGCGGCTGGCTTGACCAACACAGCAAAGCGCTCTTGTGGTCTGATCCGATGGGTCAATGGGTCAGGGGAAGTCTAGCATCTGAACATCTCTGTAGATGCGAAGGGTCACAGCTGAAGTCCATAGGCCAGTTCTTGAGCCACACAGGCCAGCGCCAGTTCTGGAGACATGCTCCAGTGCTCCAGAGCTGCTCAGCTGGTTTTCGAGTCACAGTCCCTTGGGTGTGGATGCGTGGATTCAAGCTTCCCTAGGGAAGAAGCATACACTTGCCGACTCTATAAAGAGGACTTGTTACATCATCATAGTATTACAGTGTTGTGTGGTGGAGAGTATATAAACTTCTGGCAGCTTCAGCGAGTTGAATCCCTTGTCACTTGGTTCATTCCCGGCTCTTCTTACTGTATCCGTTTTTTATGAAACAACTGCAGATCTTCGCAGCATGTTCACAGCCTTCACTCTCCACTGCCGGCTCCAGTTCCGCGCCCTCGGCCTCGCCACCGCGACGGTGCGCCGATCGAGCTCTTCCCAGCCGTGGCCTGTCCAAGCTCCGATTTGGACTTTCGGCCGCCCTTGGAACCCTTGGCTCCCGGAGACTCAGAACGCGTGCGACCGCCCGCGGGGGCGGCCGCGTATCCCGCGCGCGGAGGCTCGAGTCTGCGAGCCGCCGAGGTGGTGCGACCTTCGGTGGGGCGGGCATCACAAAGGACACCAAGAACATCAACGTTTTGGTCATTCAATGTCATTCACATGCAGGACATCAGAATCTGAATGAGATTGAATGAGGGCTAGCCGAGAGCTTTCGTGCACTGCGTGCATGTTTTACACCGAGTTTCTTCAGTAATTAGCAATTAGCGCCGCCTTTTGATCCTTATGCCCAAGTCTAACTGATTCCAACTGCATGCACTCACCAGAATGAATGCCAGCAAAACCTGGGATCACCAACCCACAACAGCGAGCTTCGCGGAGCGAGCGCGGAGCTGGAACGCTCCCCCGACCCCACCACTCGGTTCGGAGCACGGACGCGGAGGCACCGAGGTTCGGACCTTCACTTCGAGACTTGGATCTTCTCCGAGACTGGGAGCGGGAGGGAACGCCCACCTGAGGGGGCGGAACGGTGGGTTTTTCTCGGTGTTTGTCGCCGGTCCAAGCAAAATGACATGTAAAGATCAAAGATCCCGATGAAATGTAAAGGACCACATGCTGAAAGCGACTTTGGATCCCAAATCATCGGTTTTTAGGTCCCTCCAAGGTATTTGAATTGCTTCCCTCTCACCTGTCGTCCTGCAGTCTGCAGTTTGGCCGCCGCAATGCGCTCATCGAGAGCCTTCTCCACCTGCTCCATCTCTGCAAAGACCGAGTAGTAGCTCATGTGGGCATCCAAACACAGTGCCGCAGCCTCCACTTCACTTCGAAGGCCCTTGATTTCCACATATGAGTGACCTGGTGTGGCGTCACCTGGTGTGGAGTTCGTTTCACTTCTCAAAGTAAGCAATGTCACACCAGTCATGTCACGAATGAGCTTCAGGGTCATAGCCTTTCTTTTCAACCAGCTGGCCTCTTCTGCTGTGACCTCAACACTTTTGTAGTCAAAGTCCAATTCTTTCCGCGCAGCGGAAACAGATTTCGAAGATTCGCCGGAGATGATGACCAGGCCTTCACCGCTCTTGTCGTCTGTCTCCAACTTGATGGACACCTTAAACTTCTTCTCCACAGACTTCAAATGTTCGCCCTTCTTTCCAATGACTAAGCCTGACATAAACCAGTGGAATTGAACATATGATATACAGAATTATACAGTCTAGTTGAGTAAACATTCTACTGTAGACGGGTCTCCAAAGTTCTTTAAACGTATTTAAACGTGCTTCTTCTTTTGTCTTCATCATGGCCTAGGCATGTTGCAGGCACACAAAACCGTTGTTCCAGCTCCTCTGCTGGCAGTTCAAAGGGCGGGGGCTCAAAGCCGCTGACCACGTTTGCCACAAACTGCTCGGCTTGCTTGGCTTCGACTTCCCGCTCGTGCCGTCTTCGCTGAACATGAGATTTCTTGGACTCTTTGACCGTCCAAAGAAGGCTCATGGCGGCACTTTCCAGCACTTCTCTTGCAAAGGAGAAGCAGCTGGCCCATCACGGAAACTTGACTGGCCCAAAATGAACAACGATCTTTGCCTGTCAACAAGTGCAACAAATCCTCCTTTTGCCTCCCAGCATGATGAAGTGCATACTACCCAACAAGGATCCACATAGAGCCTTGGAGGTGTTGGGGCTGCTAGAGTACCACTTGGCTAACCTGCAAGGTGGCAATGTGGCTGTTGGCCGTGGGCAACGAGGGCAACAAAAACACGGTGACAGTGACATGGTGTTTTGCGCTTCAAAGGGCGTGCAATGGTATTTGTGCATCTGATCTGATTAGCCCAACACAATCCTGGGTGTTCCAGCCTGAAGAGGCAAATGCTGCACGACTCAGCATGATTGAGAGAGTTTATCTGAGGCCATTGGATCCCTATCTGCAAATGTAACTGATTTCTTCCTTTTGCTGGGGATGCCTTGAAATTGCTAGGAAACGCAATATGATCATCTATGATCTATATGTCTTCAACTTCACAAAGCTGTCGACCCAACAAAGCATCTGTTCCAGGAAAACACTATTCCAACCCACGACTGGTGGTGCAAACCTGCTGTTCCCGCCCACACACCGGGGTTCGGCACTCCTCACCTTGGCTGTCAAAGAGATGGAACGAGAAAAATGCTTGGCATCAGATTGAGTTGTGGAAAACATTGTGGAAACCATGTTTGCTTTGGAACTTGTTCAGTTGTACAATGTAATGTATAAGAATGATTCTGTGTGTATACAAAAAGTGTCACGATATCATACAATGTCCGCAACCTTTGAATCAATTCTGGCCTTGTCCAGTGTCTAGTTTCGTCCATGGGGTGGATGTCCAGTTTCCACCTGCCTCTCCAAGTTCATCGAAGGTGTTTGATGTGTTGAATCAGTTGAATCAATCTTCTGAAATGACCATGGGCTCCTTTTCGGGGCTCACATTCACGGGTTGGTGAATTAGGGTTCCTTCAAGTATTCAGCATTTAAATGTAAGAGCATTTACATACAAACTGCCAACATGAAATAGAGCTGGCGCCTTGGCGGTTTTCAGTGTTTTGAATGCTTGTCTGTCTTGTCTGACAAAAACGGTTTTCCATCAAAGAGCCTCTGCAGTTGGGACTCTCCAGAATTGGAACGACTACAGCAACGAACCCAAACCCACCAACTTGATGTGCCCAGAAGAAGGGTAGGTGGTTGGGCAGGGCTTGCGGCGGTTGTCTCATATCAGTGACTTTGAATTGAATAAAGCTCGATTGAAATCTATTGTTTCTATGTAGGTTGGCCCACACAAATCCACTTGTCATTCATCAACCTTCCTTCCCACATGAGTTGTCAAATGTGGTTCTTCCAACAAAATGGCCCTCAAATGTGTAGCCCCACACCACAACATGTTGCACGGGTCACGTACCCTCTGGGTCCATGGGGTAAGACCGGTATGACTGAGAATGAGGCATTTGAGCAAATCCAAAACTGTCACGATGGAAGCTAGGTTCCAGCTCTTCACTGCGCATGGTTACAGGAGTTGTCGGACAAAATTCCACTTCTTGGCAACAGCTAATCACCAGTGCGCACTTCGGGAGCCCTGCCGAATTGAAGACTGCCAGACTCTCCTTTCTGCATCATCCGTGCTGCTGTATTCACCTCAGAAACACGCACGTTCAAAACTTTCAAACAGGGTGACTTCCAGCACCTTCAAAGGGATCACCAATGGAAGCCCCTACACTATCCGGGACCTCCAGACAGGACACTCCTTGAAGGTCCAGGTTGAAGTCTCCGGGTCGTGGATGTCCCACGACGCGCAGGTGCGCCGAGCAGCCGTGTCTCCGAAGAGCCGGAAGCGCGGGAGCTTCTGGCCGATGACGCCTGGTGAGTCCCCGATTTTGCCGTCACGAAAGGACGTCAACAAAGGGTGAGGTGGTGTTGAATGTTCGCTGCGGTGAAAGCTCAGCTGTGACGGTGAAGAGCAGTGCGTGTAAAGACAAACAAAAACACATGCACGGTAAGTAAAGTGCAGCTTTTGTCTATTAATAAAAACAGAATCAAGAGGTTTGTTGTTTTTTGATTGTTTGTTTTGGTTTGTTTGTTCCTGTAACAAAAAACACTACAGTTACGTTCTGTCTTCTGTGAGGAGTTGCATCATCATGAATATTGTGTGGCGTGAGGATGAACCATGAACCAGGAGTCCTGCAAAACACATGCAGCTGTTGGAGCTTTCTTGACATTGTTTGGCCAGTAGACAAAGTATGAATTCATGACAACATGAAGCCCTAACAGGTGCATTGACTCCGTGTAGAATTGTAAAACCAAACACTTACGACTAACAATGTGGAGTGGTGGAAAGTCAAGCGTGGAGTTGGTATCGGTCCAATGCGATCTGGTGTATACCGCAACACACTCTGACATTGGTTTGCTGTTAACTCAGTTCCCAAGTTGAGAAGGAAGGTGGTGGAACGGCAAGGCGAAAAAGTTCGGTGACTTGAATTGTTGAAAAGATGTTTCACTCGCGCGGCTGGCTGCAATTCACAAGCGGCTGAAAGCTGCGGTGGGAAACCTGTTTTTGGGGAAGGTATCGTGCGAAACCACCATGAATCAAATCGAAAGTGGAAAAGTGTGAACAACAGTTGCAGGTGCAGGTACGTCAGCAAGCGTCCTTGCTGATATCAGCACATCCTGAAGAACCTCTTTGTTAGATGCCCTCTCAGGTGTGGGGCATCCCCCTGCTTGGTAGTGGAAACGGTAGGAAGTAACCCTTTGAGACAGGGGGTGACACACACACAACCAACATGCTGCATCAGTTGGGTGGAAATATTGAAGTCATCTTCCCCACAGCAAGTGGCTTGCTAAGTTTGTTCAATTGACATGATACCAATCTACATGGGCTTCTCCCTAACTAGGACAAACAAAATAATCCAAATCACATGCATGTTTAGTAGCCTCTTCTTGTGCTAGCCGACTAGTCTGTATCGCTGCTATCCATTGGCATTTTCACAGTCCGCTCCAAACAAAGCCCGACCGCGGGTTCCCGCGCCCACCCGCGTGGGTACGTTTCCAGCGCCAGTGTCTCCCGTCCTGCCACTACCGGGCCGGTGTGCATGCCCATCTTGAAGGTCACGGTCGATCCCTGGCGTGAAGGCTTGGGCAGCTCGAAGCCGTGACTGGTCAGGTCGACCGGATCTCGGTTCGGGCGATCCGCCGAAGAAAAGGACCAAAGTACTGCCAGAACATGTTCAAGCGAACTTACAATTTTGGTCGAAAGGAGCTGAGCAATCCCTGTGAATGGATGGGACAGTGGACACCCATTCTCCATGCCCCCCAAAACCACAAGATTAAAGGTCCGTTCGAGAGCATGATATAACCTAATATCACCACGGTCAGTGGACTTGAAGCAACACCTTCGGATGCCCCCCGACCATCCCAAGTTCACCTTTCACCCATTGTTCTAGGGTCTTTCAACCAACGTTCACCCCAACAGACCCGCAGAAACAAAATATACAAACACTCTTGGATGAGAAACGCCTAGGGCTCCTGGCCTACCTCCGTTTCGAAGGTGGTTCAGGTGGCCAAGGGGGTCTAACCACCGAACCTGAGGATATGGGACAGGAGCCCTAGGGAACAAAAGCTCAGGTCAAGCCCTGGCCCCGCTTAACCACCTCACGCCTGGGAAGTCCTTTTGGAGGCCTGGCACAGAGACATGGTGGGTGAGCTTGAGACATGGTGGAAGTAGTAGGAATTCACAAGGGGGGAGACCTAACTTTTGAGAAAACTATGAGTGTGTGTGTGTGTATGCCCAAACACGCGATCCCCAGAATCAAGACCCCTTTGTGAACCCATTCCCTTCCCAAAGCTTTAGTGGCGTTCATTAATCTAGTACAAAAAATTAAGCTCACCTGCGTCTCCTCAACCCTACAACTTTCTTTAGAGAAGATCTTCGAAGGTCCCAGTCTGGAAGTCACAACCTCTTACCCCCGAGCCGTTTCCCTACTAAACTTCCACCTCGATTTTAGTGCGTGGGGTCTCCCCAATTCCCCCCCAAAAAGGTTGGACAAGTTATCCACGTTTCGGTGAGACAAACTGCTCAAGTTAATTCAAATTACATAATCCATTTGATGTCTTAGCTCCAGAAAAGCACAGTTGTCTATACCTGACAGATCGCGTTTGTTGGGGCTCCCGGCGGCCAGGATCTCAGCGGCGGCCTGTGAAGGGTTGGAGGGTTGCAGACTTCCTCAAAACATCTTAGAAGCAAAACACTGTGACATTCATGCACAAACCTTATAGGAACTTTGGTTGGGCGCTTTCACTAGTTCAATGTGTTTAGAACTACCGTGCTGTTTCTTCTCCACCTTTCTTCACTCATCGTCACTTTTGTTTCTCACATCAAAAGAGACACTTATTCCTTATTAGTATTGCATAGTATTGCTTATCCTCCCAAAAGACCTGGAAAAACATGGCAACACCAAGCAAAAAAATCAACAAAGCAATTAAAAGAAAGGGGAACATCTGCAAGCTGGGAAATGAACGTTGAAGGAAACGGAACCCTCTCCTGGGAAAGTCCAAGCAACTCAAACCCCACCTGCAGAAGTCGACCTAAGACCTTGCTGCGCCCCTCGAAGTCTCCCGCCTGGCTGCGTGTGGTCGGTCCGGGCGCGGTCGACACGGACCGTGTGTTCTGTCCGGTGTTTCATGGGTCCCCGGTCGAGCCGAAGCGAACAGTGGCGCCAAGCCGGAGCTAGCTATGGGTGGGTGGCGGGTGAAAGCCCTCAAGTTCAGAAAAGCTGAACGAATTCACTGCCGAGTGATGTTCCAAGTGTAGGGACAAACGGAAACTCCACGCCACATGTTTCGTCCTGGCCTCGAGATCGTCTTCCGGAACAACGCCCACAGCGCACCTCAGGCTCAGCAGGACATCCTCCAATTGTTCTCTGAGTGCAGATCCACGAGAACAGAACCGAATGGTTCCAGGGCATCCAAGCGTCTT